ATTATTGCAACTGGGTCCAGCAGCTGAAATAGCACCGTGTTTCTCACCACATCAGGGTCACACTCTGCTCCCACACACGTGTCTGCAAGTCGTACTGGGCTCAGGGCAGCTGGTTTTGCTGGGATGCCTGCATGCGGGAGAGCTGCCTGCACAGCAACTGAACCACCCCCTGTCCCTGTTTATCTTGTAATCCTTACCATTTGATACCTACCAGCAATTCATTTGTATAGCTAGTGTGTAATCGTGTCATCACCTGCACTCAAACCACCCGGTGTGAGACTGTCAAATGGTGCCATTTTTAAACTTGTCTTAATTTCCAGTCTGATCCTAAGAGTGTTCACCTTCACAGAAGCTGCTCCCCTCCTCTCGGTCTCATCCAGTTTTGCAGACAAGTTATTAATGCTGATGAACACCAGGGTGTCTGTGGAGCTGCTTTCAGTGAATCACAGTTGTGATGTTACATTGCTGTAAGTACAGCTCTCGGTGGGAATGTTAGCAAGACGAGGAGGCACCATGGTAGGATGTTCTTGGGTAGGATTGGGGCAAACTGGAGAAAAAATGCTGCTGCACCATGTCACCTTCTGGTATCAAAACAAAGTGCTGGTCAGAGAAGCCTCATCCTACAGCTGGAAGCTAATGGGCAAAACCCACCTAAAACATAAAATTAAAAATGCAATAATTTCCTTTTTCCCAGCAACTACTTCTGAGTAATATGTTACAGCACAGTGGTGTCAGACTATTTAGCTGATACTTGGCAAGCAAAATTTGATGGAAATGCAAATTTATCGGGTTTTATTATATTCAATAAATAGAACTGTTCCTGGGGCAGAAGGTTTTTAGAAGGGCAGGACTTGGCAAGTCAACTGTAACTGTTGAGGTATGCTCGAGATACAATATGACTTGTGAAGGCGATGAAAAATGATAGTCATTGTTAAAGGTATAAAGGCAGGAACAAGTGTGCCTGAACCGTCCCTAATGGATGTGCGGCTGAGTCATCCCTGGCTTTTCCAGCCTGCTCCAGTATTTCTTCTGCCTCACAGTTTAAGGGTCTTTCCTAGGACCTAACTCAGATCTTCCCTGCAATTTCCAGCAATTTCTTTGGTTTCCCCATTGCTTGGGAACACAGCTGATCTGTCCTCCTGGAATGGTCCCACGTGTATCAGGAGACTATTGTTGTTCTCTTTTTCTTCTCTTTTTAAACCAAACAAATCCAGTTCTTTCAGGCTTTGTTTTTTTTGAAAATACCTTGGGGGGGGGGGGGGGGAATATTTAAAAAAAAAAAAAAAAGTTCCTAATCTAACCACAAAGCATGCGAAAAACCAAGA